ATAGATAGATAGATAGATAGATAGATAGATAGATAGATAGATAGGGAACAGAAGTACCTTGTATGAGTGGATAATGCTGTCCCCAGAAGACATGTTATTAAATGAAAGTCTCAGTGCCAGGCAGGCACTACCATGAGCTATTGGTTAAGGAGACCCCAGAGGCACCCACAACAACATAGCCCAATGCTATTGCCATTGGCTGCCCACCGTAACTATATGGTAAGACCCTATTGCTGAAGACGCCACTCACTTTTGACGTTCAACATAGAGAAATCACCCTTGAACTGGCCAGGAAACTCTGCTGGCTAGCTTGCATAGTGCCAGGGGTGCTATGCGGGCCTCTGGAGGCGAAGGGTCACCAATAATCTTACACAGCTGTGAACCTTGTATGCAGCAACAGTGACCTGACAGCAGAAAGTGTCCACTGGAATAGACGGCGCAACAGCTAGGCAGGTAAACAATCGCTGTCTGACTGGATGGGAGTCTTGCTCCACAGGAAGAATGCCATGCCTGGTACCGGAAACCTGGTCAAAAGCCCCTGACTGGGGAGATCATAGGTCCTGTGGCAGGGTATAGGTACCTACTAACGGTTTTTTGTTGCTGTTGTTGTTATTGTTTGTTTGTTTGTTTGTTTGTTTTTGCTAAGTGGTCTTCCCATCAAACTACCTTCGAAATATGTATGTTTATGCCAATAGATTGGTGCTGCTCTCAACTTTGATTAGAGACACTTCCCTTTGCAGTGGGTAGTGTTTCGTGAAGACACATAAAACAACAGGTCAAAGTGCCGAGCATAAATAACTCGGTGTACGGCTGCAGATGGGTCGTCTGTAGAGACCTAGCAAGATCAGGGAACTTCAAAGAAGGCAGGTGAGGCAGGGAACCGAGAAACACTGACTTTTGGACCTGACACGGATGCTGCAGGCATCAAGTCACAGCAGTTGTGGCTACCTGCTCATGGCCTAGGAGATGACCCCACACCGGTGTGAGCGCGGGCAGCATTAATTGGGTTCAAGGGGTAATTGATAACAAAAAAAAAATTTTTAAAAGAGGACGTGAGGCTGGATGGGGACGGGGTGGCGACACTAGAGGGAGCTAGAGGGGGCAGTGGGTTAGTCCACATAATCAACCGTCGCATAAGCACATGAACTCTCCGAGAATAAAAATAACATTTAAAGTAAACAGACAAACGGAGAAGAATCGGGGAGGACACGACATACTGACAGAGTCGGGGTGAGGCTCCACACTCTCTCTCTAAAGGAAGGCCGACCTGGAGGCAAACTTGGCCCCTGGCAGAGTAGGCGCCAGGCCTGCGGTTACGCGGGTCTGCCGCTAGGGGGCGCTGTGGCGCCGCTCCGGGCGTCTCTGACGGCGGCGGCCAGGGACCGGGCCGCTGAGCCTGGGGACGTGGACACCGCCCTGCGCTGTGGCCGACACGTGGCAGCCCCAGTCCGCCAGCCCAGCTTGGGTCCAAGGTCCCGTGCTGCGCCAGGGCAAGGGCAAGGGCCGCTGTGCCGTCAGAGCCGGCCCTGTGTTCTCGGGGACGCCGGGTGCCCTGCGAGCACACAGAATGAAGGCCGCTTTCAGTGTGTCTGGGCCGATGCAGACACACCTCCCCCTGGGAAACTTAGAACAAAGGAGGAAAGGGATGTAAGCTACGCCGGTAGGAAGGCTTGAACATGTGGATTAAATAAAATGGATAATTATAATCCATTCCTCTATTTTGTTAGCGTGGTTGTTACAGCTTATCAGAATGTAATGCTGTCCAAGGTGCCTCGGGAGCTCTATGAGTCCATTTACCAAAAAGGGGAACAGGAGAAAAGACAAAGTTCCCAAGAAACCTCTAGTGTATTTTCCGGAGCCCACACTGCGTGTCTACACGCGGCTCTCTCAGCGTCCGGCTCCGGCTAACACCCTGCTTCTAGCCTGCTACAACCCCTCCTTGGGGAAGGAAGGGCGGAAGGCAGGACCCGGAGCAGAAGCACGGTGTCCAGCACTGACACGTGCCAGAAGTGAAGTCCATGTTCCGGGAAGTCCTTCCAAAACAAGGACAGTTGTCCGTGGAAGATGTAACCACAATGGTGCTGTGTAAACACAAGCTTTTACCCTTAAAATCTTTGACTTTGGAAAAACTGGAGAAAATGCAGCAAGCAGCACAGGATACAATCCGCCAACAAGAAATGGCAGAGAAAGAAGACCGGCAAATAGCCCACTGACCAGGGGACAACCCCTCCTCCCTGTTCACGAGCTAGAACCACTCTACAGCAAGCTACAGGCCGAAAACACATATCAAACGAGACATTCAGATTCTAAAATACAAAGTTTGGGAACTCAAGACATTGGTTTGTGTTAAAAAGAAAAACTTTGAACCAACTTTTATTGGATTTTGAAAGGGTTTTTAAAATTGTAAATTACCTCTTGTTATGAGTGTAAGAAATTAAATGTATCTTTTATGGGGAAAAAAAAAAAACACCTCTCCTTAACGCCCTAGCTCTGCTTCATAGTGCCCTGCCCGGATGTCACAGTGCAGCACCCTGGCT